ATTAAAGAAGAAAAAAATTAGGCATTCCAGAAAAAAGTCTATTAAACCACATAATCAGGAAAATTTATAAATCACTTTAATTAGATAAAAACAAAACTGATTTGATCAGATCACTATATTCTTAGTCAAAATTTTCTTTTATAAATATCTATCAAACATGATCTACAGGACAAGATCACATACGTAACAGTGCAAATCTCTGTGTGTGTGTGTGTAAGACAGTATGTGAATGTGTGTGCATATGTTGTGTGTGCGAGTGTGTGAGCATGTGTGAGCCAGCGAGTGCATGTATGTGTGTGAGACAGTATGTGTGAGCGTGTTAGTATGTGGGAGACAGTATGAGTGTGTGTGACAGTATGAGTGTGACAATATGTGTGTGAGACAGTATGTGTGTTTATGTGACAGTATGTGTGAGTGTGTGTTACAGTGTGTGTGTGACAGTATGAGTGCATGTGTCAGTATCTGTGTATGTGTGAGACAGTGTGTGTGACTGTATGACAGTGTGTGAGACAGTATGTGAGCGTGTGACTGTGTGAATGTGTGTGTGTGTGCGAGCATGTCAGCATGAGTGTGTGCATGCATGACCGTGTGTGTGACAGTGTGTGTGACAGTGTGTGTGAATGTGTGTGCATGAGTGTGTGTGAGCATGTATGTGACAGTATGTGTATGACAGTGTATGTGAATGTGTGTGCATGAACGTGTCAGCATGTGTGAGACAGTATTGTGAATGTGAAACTGTGAATATGTGTATGCATGTGTGGCAGTGTGTGTGAATGTGTGTGCGTGCTTGAGCGTGTGAGCGTGAGATAGTATTGTGAATGTGAAACAGTATGTGTGAACGTATGCATGTGTGACAGTGTGTGAATGTGTGCATGCATGAGTGTGAGCATGACTGTGTCAGCATGTGAGACTGAGTGTGAGTGTGTGAGCGTGAATGTGTGAGCATGTATGAGACAGTGTGTGCGAGCGTGTGAGCGTGAATGTGTGAGCATGTGTGAGTGTGAGACTGCGTGTGTGTGTGTGCGCGCGCGCACACGCGTGCATGTAGAAAGCCCAGCTTCTTGCCCCGGGAAGCTCATTTCAAGCGTGAAGGTTTGAGGCCGGCACCTAGACGTACCCACTGAAAGGCAAAGGTAACAGTACGTACGCTCAGGGTGCAGCCTTTGTGCAGATGGTGCTTCAGGGTCTTTTCAAGCTTGGACACAGCCTTGCACAGCTCCGCTTTCTCTTGGGTCACCGTGCTGAGCACTTTTGTGAGGGAGTCATTGTCTTTTAGCAAGACATCCACAAGCTGGGTTTGTAGCTGTGCTGCTGTATTTTTCTTGATAAAAAGAAAACAACAAAAGCTTATAAGTACTTTTTGTTAAAAGCATGCACCTTGTTTCTGAGTTTGTGTTGGTGGTGGTGATTTTCAGGGGTTATCATCTTAAAGCCTTTAGTGTTGGGGGAAGCACGTGCAGCTGAGCGGCGCTACGCTCCTAGGGTACAGAGACAGTCAAAGTCATCCCACCACGCTTCTTCTCAGGGCCCTACAAGAGGGGCTTGGCACTAAACTGGCTGTGTGACAGAGTGGGCCTGGCACAAGCCCAGCCCTGTTCAGGCTGCTGTAATGGTGCTGTAACAAGTCCCGCCCAAGGGGTGACCAAAGAACATCCCTTGTTCATGACGTGGGGACAGACCATACAAGTCCCTTAAAGCAAGTTTGCTATTTCCATGAGCAGATCAACGTTCTGTCCACAGAAAGGGTGTGGCAAGACTGGAGAGGGCGTGGGGCCAGGCACAGGGACCTGGGGGCAGTGGCTGAGGTCAGAGAGCCTCAGATACGGGGCAGGAGGATGCAGAGCAGGGGGAACGGGGCGGGAGGACGTGGGGCAGGAGGGACGACGGCCAGGGACTTGGAGCAGCAAGGAGAGGAGCAGGGGTATGGGGTGGGAGAAGAGGGGTAGGGTGGACGTGGGGCAGGAAGGACGAGGGCCGGGGAATCGGGGCAGCAAGGAGAGGAGCAG